GGTCAAAAAGACTTTTAAATGTGCTTATCTGATCATGAGGACAATGAGAAGGATGATTATCATTTATCTCATTTCTTATATAGCTGATTTCTAAGATATAAATTTTTTTTTTTTTTACTTTTAAGTACATTGGATCAGCAAGATTTACAATTATAGCTTTATTGTGAGCTGAAACTGGATTTTGCATCCTGTGTTCATCTAAAATCATATAAGGTTTTAATCTCTTAAAAAGAAAGCTCTTTATGATGTCTGGGAAACAGATACATTTATGATGGGTCACTGAACATAGGCTGTGCTTATCTGCCATGCACCTCTTTCGACGGTTTCCTTCCTCAAACACACAGCTGGATGGCGTTGCGCAAGTACATTGAAAATCCACTTAACACTTTATGGTTACTATGACAAAGGACCCGTTTGAATTATCATCTCTATTTGGGATTTTTCAAGTAGTCATTCCATCTTTGAATCGACACCTTGCTGCAGTTTTAACACCAAAAGCCACAAAAAGAGATTGATTAAAGAGTTAATAAATCCAATAATCTCCATTTATAAAATGCATCTATTAGAACTGGATAATTATGTCAAATGTATTTTAAAAATAATGTGTGCATTTTTGTGTTCGTAGGTGGGTTAATGTATAATTAATAATTAAACTTTATTGATCTAACATTGGAGAAATTTACCCCTGCATTTACCTCATCCCCTTGGCGAGCAATGGGCTGCCATCGTGGGGCACCCGGGTTAAGTCTCTTGCTCAGAGACCCAGAGTGGCAGTCTGTGGGAGTGGGGCTCGAACTCAGAACCTCAGGATTCCAAGCTCTATGCTCTAACCATTAGGCCGCCACTCCCAAAAGAAGATTTGTATGTGTATAATAACAAATACTGCTGAGTGGGAGAATAGGGAAAGAATGAAGCAAACTGATGAGAATGGTTCTTATGTCCTCCAGCGGTCTAAGCCTATTGCAGCATAACTAGAGATATCTGATGGAATCAGCTGGGTTTCTTCAGCTAGAAAACTTTGAACTAATCTGACTATATGATCTGAATGAATCATCTCTGTGAAATGCCTTCAGATCAATTGTGTTGTAAATTGGTGCTATAGAAGTTTACTAAACAGAATGATTGCTAACCTGTGAAGTTTCCTGATGCTACCATTTAGAAAATATTTCAGGTCCAGTGCTTTTCCTGGTTTAAAATATTAACTTGTGTCAGTGTGCAGATATAATCAAACCTGTGCAGGTCTTTGCATGGTCTTCATGCTCCTCTGTAGTCAGGATATTTGAACCAGAAACATGTTAGAATTGGTTGCCAGAAGTTTTTTTCACTTTACTCCTAAAACATATTTATTTCATTGGATTTGTATGTTACATACCACTCACAAGTTGCACCTGTTTTTTTTTTCCTGAAGGAGACAGATACTTCTCTTGCACATTGAATTAAATATGTGTTATGAAGGTATTTACAGGTGCTGGTCATAAAATTAGAATATCATGAAAAAGTAGATTGATTTCAGTAATTCCATTTAAAAAGTGAAACTTGTATATTATATTCATACATTACATACAAACTCATATATTTCAGATGTTTATTTTGTTTAATTTTGATGATTACAAATGACAACAAATGAAAATCTCAAATTCATCATATCAGAAAATTAGAATATTACTGAAGACCAATAAAAACAAAGGATTTATAGAAATGTTGGCCAACTGAAAAGTATGAACATGAAAAGTATGAGCATGTACAGCACTCAGTATTTAGTTGGGCCTCCTTTGGCCTGTATTACTGCAGCAATGCTGCGTGGCATGGAGTCGATCAGTCTGTGGCACTGCTCAGGTGTTATGATAGCCCAGGTTGCTCTAATAGTGGCTTTTAGCTCTTCTGAATTGTTGGGTCTGGTGTATTGCATCTTCTTCTTCACAATACCCCATAGATTTTCTATGGGGTTAAGGTCAGGAGAGTTTGCTGGCCAATTAAGAACAGGGATACCATGGTCCTTCAACCAGGTACTGGTAGCTTTGGCACTGTGTGCAGGTGCCAAGTCCTGTTGGAAAATGAAATCTGCATCTCCAAAAAGTTGGTCAGCTGCAGGAAGCATGAAGTGCTCTAAAACTTCCTGGTATGTGGCTGCGTTGACCCTGGACCTCAGAAAACACAATGGACCAACACCAGCAGATGACATGGCACCCCAAACCATCACTGACTGTGGAAACTTTACACTGGACTTCAAGCAACGTGGATGAAGTGCCTCTCTTCTTTTCCTCCAGACTCTGGGACCTTGATTTCCAAAGGAAATGCAAAATTTACTTTCATCAGAGAACATGACTTTGGACCACTCACCAGCAGTCCAGTCCTGTTTCTCTTTAGCCCAGGCAAGACGCTTCTGACGCTGTCTGTGGTTCAAGAGTGGCTTGACACAAGGAATGCGACAGCAGAAACCCATGTCTTTCATACGTCTGTGTGTGGTGGTTCTTGAAGCACTCACTCCAGCTGCAGTCCACTCTTTGTGAATCTCCCCCACATTTTTGAATGGGTTTTGTTTCACAATCCTCTCCAGGGTGCGGTTATCTCTCTCGCTTGTACACTTTTTTCGACCACATCTTTTCCTTCCCTTCGCCTCTCTATTAATGTGCTTGGACACTGAGCTCTGTGAACAGCCAGCCTCTTTAGCGATGACCTTTTGTGTCTTGCCCTCCTTGTGCAAGGTGTCGATGGTCGTCTTTTGGACAACTGTCAAGTCAGCAGTCTTCCCCATGATTGTGTAGCCTATAGAACTAGACTGAAAGACCATTTAAAGGCTTTTGCAGGTGGTTTGAGTTAATTAGCTGATTAGAGTGTGGCACCAGGGGCCATCAATTTTGAACCTTTTCACAATATTCTAATTTTCTGATATGATGAATTTGAGATTTTCATTTGTTGTCATTTGTAATCATCAAAATTAAACAAAATAAACATCTGAAATATATGAGTTTGTATGTAATGTATGAATATAATATACAAGTTTCACTTTTTAAATGGAATTACTGAAATCAATCTACTTTTTCATGATATTCTAATTTTATGACCAGCACCTGTAGATAAGGAGATGGTAATCTTCAGCAAGGAAAATAAAACTGGTCATGTTGATGAGAAGATGGGGTGGGGGCAACCATAGGCAGTTTCCTTTTCTTTATTTAGAGGTTACCCTGGTTCCAACCTGCAACTTAGATCAGTGCAAGTTACTGCTTAGGACTTAGTGCTGTTGATTTGCTCAATCTTTTAATTCACACAAAATTAAAAACAGGCCCATTGTATCATAAAATCACATATGTGCAGTTTTTTTAAGACCCCCATTTTGATTTTTCAGAACAGCATCCATATTAATCAAAGCTTTTTTCTTGATGTGTTTCAAGTAATGCTAGGTAAGTAGATTCAGCGTGCAGTTTTAACTAGGGGTGTAAATCACATCCATCATGGCGATTCGATTCAGTATCGATTTCCTGACCCAACGATTCGATTATTTTCGATACTTAAGAATACACCACGATTCGATTCGATTAATCGGTTAATTTTTTTTTTTTTTTTTTTTTTACACCTTACAGGCTAAACAAAGTTTCAAGTTTGAAATAAATCAATGGAAGCTGTAATATCATTATGCATTTTCTTTAGAAACAACAGCAAATAACAGAAGTAGAAAAGTTGCATCAAAAAATACTGCAAAAATACTGCACAATATCAGTGTAATGAGTTCAATGCAATACCTCGGCCCCAGAGAAACTGCCCAACATATTTTTTTAGAATGTAATAAATATATATTTAGGAAAGAGAGATGTTGTGTAGAGAGTTAGACAGGAATAAAAATAAACTAGATATAAGGGAATTGTTTCAAAGGTCATCTGGGGATGTAGTTTTTGGTAGTATTTTTAATTTTCTAAGAAGAACGGGTATTTTAGGGAGAATATAATAGTTTGTCTGGTCCATACTCCATTCTGGAAGGTGGCGGTAATGCACCTATAAGTTGTTTGCCAACCGCCATTAAAAAAAAGAAGAAGAAGAAGGCTCCAGAGTGTTGCGTCACCGCCCCCTTGAGAGACGCTCCGCTGCTCCTCTCCCAGATTGTAGCTGACCGCAAACAGTGCACCAGACAGGAGGCCGGCTTGTTTTGTTTTTATGACCGAAATTGCGGAAAACAACTCGTGAAGTTTGACCCGCTAGAAGAGCGAGGTGCGCGAGAACGCTGGGAGCCTTTTTCCAGCTGAATCTCCGCTCTTTTTGCCCCATTGTCCCTCCGTCGTCGGACTAAACTCGCCCCCACTTCCTCATCGCCTCGGCCGTATCTAGACCCACAGCGTAGCCCAGACCACGCTTCAATACTGAGCATAATTTAAAAATGTCTGTGTGAAGCTTGCTGCAACAAACTGCTGTAAGAGTATAACCATGAGGCGCGGTAGGAGGGCAAAATAAGTTTAGCGGCACCGCAGCACGGGAGGGAGAATTACGCCCAGGAGTAAATGGATAAAAATAGACCGGAGGGAAGAAAAAAAACATGAATCGATTATCTTGCGGACGTGTCGATGCATCGGATCGTCGGCTTTTGGATCGATGCATCGATACAAAACGATTATTATTTACACCCCTAGTTTTAACACATGCTGAAACCACCCACTCTCAGTTGCACCTGCAAAGCATAAAAGACCTCTATACGCAGCAGTTTGCAGGAAGCTCCGATTTAATCTCAACACCATGACGAGGAATTTATATGGGACTATGAAACGTCTTGTTTTCTATAAGGAGATAAAATTTGGACAATGTTTTATACATTTGAATTTAATTTGATCGATGATCTGATTAAAAAGGAGTCTTGCACTTGTTGAAAACTTTAATCCTGTGGTATTAAAATGTATGTACTTTACAACAGTGATGTAGTTTCTCTTTATCCAATAACTGGGGACATGCCAAATGCTAAAGGAAATATTTGTAAAATGTGTTTTTCCCCCCACAAACTTAAGAGATTAAACCAATAGAGCTTTTACCAATGGTTTTGTTTAATTTAGACAACACATTGGCTCGCTGTTCATCCCAGCAAGAGAAAAGTAAGAGAAAAAAACAAATCAGAGGTGCAGCTTCGGTGATCAGACGACCAGTCTCTAAAGCCAGAAACAGCTGCAAACTGAGATAAAACTGGATGTTTTTATGGAAAAAAAAAGTCAAAAACTGGCATCATTGTGAGTCAGAAGAAGAATCTTTAACGTCTGTGCTTTCCGTTGCCTCGCTGACTTCACTCAACTCTTTGCTTTCTCCTCCGCTGTCCCTCTCACTCTCTCTTTCTTGGTCACCGGAGCCTGATGGGCTCTGACCACATGTTGCTCCTTGACTCGACACACGAACGCCAGGTTTCCTCAACTGCAAGAGTGCAAACACAACAAAAAAGGACAAAAAATTACATTAAAAAATGACAATATTTTCATGTGGTAAAAAATGAAAATATTTCAAAAGTAAGTAAAAAGGAGGACATTTACAGATTTAATTCACCTCATCGGCCATGTGAGCCAGGTCTCTCTTCATGGCATAGGCATCTTCCCCATCCGCGTAATACTTAGGTTCAACTTCACTGATCCTGAAAATATACGAGAAAATCCCTCACTTTATTTACATTCTTAGCTATAAAGTTTAATATTGTTGCAAACTTTGTTTATTTCAGTGACTTGATTCACTAAACGAAACAAATTATATAGATTGAAAGACTGGTTAGTTTAAGCTGACATAGCTATCTTTATATGTTTATTTTTTTATAACTGTACATATACACACACTATTTGAAGGCCCACGCTCTAAATATTTGACATTACAAAAAAAGCAAACTTACTGAAACTTCAGGGTGTTGGAGTACAGGTGTAGAGCCGCTCGGTTGCTTCAGTGGGGAGAAAACATCAGTAAATATCATGTCACCAAGCTAAAGCACTTCCTTAACCCATCTACACCCAACCAAAGAAGACTGTTTTCACACCTGGGTAAGAAATGTGGAAAATGTACCTTTTGCGAACGTGAAGTGAGACATATTTGGCATTGAAGTTTTCAATCATGGCTCGGCTGGCCTGGTCCATTAACTTCTGGGCCAGACCAAGGCGTCTGTGCGATCGCTTCACCGCCTGCAACAAGTGAGGAGGGTTTAGACAGACTTCTCAGTGAAGTACAAAATACAACAAGGTGTCTGTACTCAGACTCACCAATGATGTAATATGTCCATGAGGCACATCATCTGGGTCCTCCTCCCTGAAAAAAACAAAAAACAAACAAAAAAGAGATTATTTGGATATTCAAAACCTTGCACTTAATCAGGAAGCAATTAAAGCTGTCTCTAACCTCTCTGCCAGGCCCATTTATTTATAAAAAAAATTCCAATAGCAAGACAAATCAAAGTTCTGTACATACAGGTGCTTGTCATAAAATTAGAATATCATGAAAAAGTAGATTGATTTCAGTAATTCCATTTAAAAAGTGAAACTTGTATATTATATTCATACATTACATACAAACTCATATATTTCAGATGTTTATTTTGTTTAATTTTGATGATTACAAATGACAACAAATGAAAATCTCAAATTCATCATATCAGAAAATTAGAATATTGTGAAAAGGTTCAAAATTGATGGCCCCTGGTGCCACACTCTAATCAGCTAATTAACTCAAACCACCTGCAAAAGCCTTTAAATGGTCTTTCAGTCTAGTTCTATAGGCTACACAATCATGGGGAAGACTGCTGACTTGACAGTTGTCCAAAAGACGACCATCGACACCTTGCACAAGGAGGGCAAGACACAAAAGGTCATCGCTAAAGAGGCTGGCTGTTCAGAGCTCAGTGTCCAAGCACATTAATAGAGAGGCGAAGGGAAGGAAAAGATGTGGTCGAAAAAAGTGTACAAGCAAGAGAGATAACCGCACCCTGGAGAGGATTGTGAAACAAAACCCATTCAAAAATGTGGGGGAGATTCACAAAGAGTGGACTGCAGCTGGAGTGAGTGCTTCAAGAACCACCACACACAGACGTATGAAAGACATGGGTTTCTGCTGTCGCATTCCTTGTGTCAAGCCACTCTTGAACCACAGACAGCGTCAGAAGCGTCTTGCCTGGGCTAAAGAGAAACAGGACTGGACTGCTGGGGAGTGGTCCAAAGTCATGTTCTCTGATGAAAGTAAATTTTGCATTTCCTTTGGAAATCAAGGTCCCAGAGTCTGGAGGAAAAGAAGAGAGGCACTTCATCCACGTTGCTTGAAGTCCAGTGTAAAGTTTCCACAGTCAGTGATGGTTTGGGGTGCCATGTCATCTGCTGGTGTTGGTCCATTGTGTTTTCTGAGGTCCAGGGTCAACGCAGCCACATACCAGGAAGTTTTAGAGCACTTCATGCTTCCTGCAGCTGACCAACTTTTTGGAGATGCAGATTTCATTTTCCAACAGGACTTGGCACCTGCACACAGTGCCAAAGCTACCAGTACCTGGTTGAAGGACCATGGTATCCCTGTTCTTAATTGGCCAGCAAACTCTCCTGACCTTAACCCCATAGAAAATCTATGGGGTATTGTGAAGAAGAAGATGCAATACACCAGACCCAACAATTCAGAAGAGCTAAAAGCCACTATTAGAGCAACCTGGGCTATCATAACACCTGAGCAGTGCCACAGACTGATCGACTCCATGCCACGCCGCATTGCTGCAGTAATACAGGCCAAAGGAGGCCCAACTAAATACTGAGTGCTGTACATGCTCATACTTTTCATGTTCATACTTTTCAGTTGGCCAACATTTCTATAAATCCTTTGTTTTTATTGGTCTTCAGTAATATTCTAATTTTCTGATATGATGAATTTGAGATTTTCATTTGTTGTCATTTGTAATCATCAAAATTAAACAAAATAAACATCTGAAATATATGAGTTTGTATGTAATGTATGAATATAATATACAAGTTTCACTTTTTAAATGGAATTACTGAAATCAATCTACTTTTTCATGATATTCTAATTTTATGACCAGCACCTGTAATAGGAAAACACACAGGAAAAAAGTATATTCCTAGATAACAAAACTAAAAATAAAACGATTGATGATAAAATGATAAAAGTTAGACTACAAACTTTAATGATATTTAGATAACATAGTCAAAGGCTACTACATGCAAGTTTTGATCTGGATTCAAAGCAACTGAGGGTTTCTGCCATTTTACAATTTTCTGGAAGTTTAATGTTACTTTATTATAGCATTTACCATTTTAAAATAAAAATCCTTTAAATATATTACACACCGTGAATTTCTGACTATTTAGGTAATGATATCTTACAGCTCATAAAAACCAAATTCAGTTTAATTCAGGATCTTTATAAACCTTGTTTTTGCCAACAGAGTGAGGGGAGGGGGCAGAGCTGAACGTTGTCCACCAGATTGTCACTAGTTGTGGATCTCAATCAAATATTTGATTATATATGAAAGTAAAATCACTGATGCTGACTTCTCATTGTTGAAATTCATACAGTAATAGCCCAAATCATAGGGAATAAATGCGTAAAAACATTGTCATATAAAATGTTATGGCAACATTCCCATCTATCAGCCACAGAACAAGCCACACGAGGTAAGTGTTAAAGAGGGGGAGCTGTTCACAGAGCAGTCCAACCACATTTCTAACCACATTTGAATTTTAAGGTTTAAACAGATGCACAATCAACAGGAATAGCTGTGAATTTGGAAAGATTTTGAAGCAAAGTTACTTAAAAAAAAAAAAAAAAAAAAAAAAAAAAAAAAAAGAAATCATAGTGGGATCTAAAATTTTCATTGTAGGTGCATGTCCACTTTAAAAGACATAACCTAAAAAAAAAAAATAATAATAATCCAGAAATCACATTTTATGATTTTTTTTTACTCATGATTTGAGTGATACAGCTGCAAACTAGAAAAAGCTGTTTCGGAGAAACAGCAAAGTGGGAATGCTTTTTTTGCTGAATGAAAAAAGCTGAAATTAACTGCAGAACATATGAAAATGAGGTAAAATCCTTTGAAGCTTGGTTACCTTGACAACGCTTAACGAGCCTGTCAGTGAAAGAGAGAAAAGCGCTTCACTTTCGTTCCTTTCCTCTCAGGCTTTTTTGAATGGGAAAATCAACTCCGAACAAACGAGTGCTGAAGACAAACTGTAAATGGTATCTAGAAAATTCTTTCAGTCTAAGCAACGGCTATCCTTCGTCTCCGATTGGGATAACGTTCATGGCTGTAGCTCATTCACAGCCTTTATGGGAAGGAGTAATAAAAAGGTTTGTAAATCCTGCTGGTCTCATTAAATTACATGGAGTTCCATGGTAGAGCTGAGCTGTCAAAAGCAAAACTTTCCCTCCGAACAAACGAGCGGTGAGCCAAAACCGTAAAAGGTATTCAAAAAATTATTTCACTGTTGGCGTCAGCCATCCTTCGGCTTCGACTGTGCCAACTTTCATGTTTCTACTAAAAACTATTTGGCCACGGTGACGATGTAAAAATTTGCATTTTCTGAGTTTGAGGACTTTTCTCAGAATCAATGTTTTCTTATGCCTGAACAAGTCAGCTAAACAGCTAAACCATAAATGATATTGAATAAATTCCTTCAATGTGAGTGCTAGAAGGCTCTGACGATGTTCTATACCAAGTTTCATGTTAGTACATCAAATAGTTAATAAATGGGAGCGATACGAAAATATGAATCGTTTTGGATTTTGTCTGTGATTTTTGGAAAATCTCTCATTGGATTTCTATTGTGGAAGTGTGGACTTCTTCGCGGTCTGGGCCAAACTGTCGGAAAACTGTAAATGCCACACAAATGAGGGTTACATTTCCTGAATCCTGACAAAAATCCCTACGTTTTGATGTATAATTTATTTCAACTGAGTGAAAAATGAGGGAGTGAGAACAATTTGTTCGGAAAAACCAGAAAAGCTCAAAAGCTAGAGCACGCACTCTAGCAGTTGAAGAATTCCATCCATAGACTTCCATTATAAATCTGAAAATCTGAAAATTTTCTTTTAAAGTTTGAAGCTTCACTGAAGTAAAACTGTAGAAGTTAGCAAAAAGCCAAGTTAAACAGTAATAGCAGAAAGATACGGAAACATTTTAAAAGTTGAATGGTGTTTCTAGCTGAAAGTATGCTGTGGGACAATGGGACAAAAAAAACGCAGAAAAAGCAGAATATCGCGAAAACTACAAAAAATATCTTAACCAAAAGACATAGCACAATTCTCCTGAACAAGCTGAAAGTTTTGATACCAAAATTGTTGAAATCGGTTGAAAACTGCGTGACTAGTTAGAGTCAGAAAAATTTAAAGTGAACAACATTCAGTATTACTAAATATTATCAAATATTATCAATATTATACTCAGTCCTGGTACTGTTCCAATTTACAAATACAGATTACAGCTGTCCCAGCATGCACTGCGGCGGCAGCAGCTTTTAGTTTAGCGTTCACAGAGCTCAGAGTATAACGGTTTTCTTTTCTGTTGCCATTGTTTAATAACAGTGCGTTTTAAGATTAATAGAATAGAATAGATAGAATAGATTTACTTTATTTATCCCAAGCTGGGAAATTGTAGTGTAGCAGCAGCTTTACACATAGTGACAGTCACAACACGTGTAAAGCTGCTACACTACAATTTCCCAGCTTGGGATAAATAAAGTAAATCTATTCTAATTGAGCAGAGAATAATATACTTTTAAGCATCACTATATGGCCCATTTGCCGATTTAATGCATAATTTAAAAAAGAATTTCTGGATTTGAGAGAACCACGTCAACCAGCGGACCTCCAAGGGTATTGGCAGCTAGGTCTAATCCCAGGCAGTCTGCAGCAGCCCTCTCTCCGCATAGCTGCTTGTGAAGGACCGCTGGCTCTGAGGGCGAGTTTTTTGTTTTATTTGGCAAAACATTCATTTGATATGTGTTTATCTGACTGTGTTAATTGTTATTCCCCCACTAAATGAAAAAAAGTAAGAATTTATTATTATCTACAGACTATTAATAGCATGAGGTGAAATGCAGCTACAGGGAGCTGAGCGTGTGGCGATATCACGAGTACGCTTCTGTTCCAATTGATCCATATTTATGCTGCGTGCTTCCGTTTTCCTCAAGTCCATTCATTCTTGTGTTCGTCTCAAGAACAAACTTGGCAAGAACACGAGTCCCTCTAATCTAATTTAGAATAATAAATGGAGTGGAGGTGGACGTTTTTAAGGCAGACTAACAGGTTTATGAGGGTCAGATTTCAAGCTGATAGACAGGTGTTCGAATACTTATCAAGTGGGAATGCTTATGCATTCCCACTTATTGTTGTTCACTTTAAATTTTTCTGACTCTAACTAGTCCCGCAGCTTTCAACCAATTTCAACAATTTTGGTATCAAAACGTTCAGCTTGTTCAGGAGAATTGTGCTATGTCTTTTGGTTAAGATATTTTTTGTAGTTTTCGCGATATTCTGCTTTTTCTGCGTTTTTTTTGTCCCATTGAAATGCATTTAGAATTCTTAGATTTCAGCAAAATTCAGCTAAAACTTTATCATCTTCGACCTTTAACTACTTCAGCATACTTTCAGCTAGAAACACCATTCAACTTTTAAAATGTTTCCGTATCTTTCTGCCATTACTGTTTAACTCAGCTTTTTGCTAACTTTTACAGTTTTGCTTCAGTGAAGCTTCAAACTTTAAAAGAAAATTTTAAGATTTTCAGATTTATAATGAAAGTCTATGGACGGAATTCTTCAACTGCTAGAGTGCGTGCTCTAGCTTTTGAGCTGTTCTGGTTTTTCCGAACAAATTCTTCTCACTCCCGGATTTTTCACTCAATTGAAATAAATTTCGCATCAAAACGTAGGGATTTTTGTCAGGATTCAGGAAATGTAACCCTCATTTGTGTGGCATTTACGGTTTTCGGACAGTTTGGCCCAGACAACAAAGAAGTCCACATTTCCCCAATAGAAATCCTATAAGAGACTTTCCAAAAATCACAGACAAAATCCAAAACGACACATATTTTCGTATCGCTCCCATTTCATAACCATGTGATGTACTAACATGTAACTTGTTATAGATCATCTTCAGACCATTCTAGCACTCACATTGAAGGAATTTTTTAAATATCATTTATGGTTTAGCTGACTTGTTCGGGCATAGGAAAATGTTGATTCTGAGAAAAATCCTCAAACTCAGAAAAAGCTAATTTTTACATCATCACCGTGGCCAAATAGTTTTTAGTAGAAATGTGAAAGTTGGCACAGTCGAAGCCGAAGGCCGGCTGACGGCAACGGTGAAATAATTTTTTGAATACCTTTTACGGTTTTGGCTCACCGCTCGTTTGTTCGCAAGGAAAGTTTTGCTTTTGAGAGTTCTGCTCTACCATTAAGCTGCATGTAATTGAATGAGACCAGCAGGATTTCTCAAACCTTTTTATTTCTCCTTCCCATTAAGGCTGTGAATGAGCTACAGCCATGAAAGTTACCCCACTTGGAGACAAAGGATAGCTGTCACTTAGACTGAAAGAATTTTTTAGATACCATTTACGGTTTGTCTTCAGCACTCGTTTGTTCGGAGCTTATATTCCCATTCAAAAAAGCCTGAGAGGAAAGGAACGAAAGTGAAGCGCATGTCTCTGTCACTGACAGGCTCGTTAACGTCGTCAAGGTAACCGTGCTTCAAAGAGATTTTACCTCCACCACTTTAAACAGCACATTTTAATCTAATGGAGGGAGACAACACTGATTTAACATAAGGAAGTGGATACAATATGACTACTGGCCATGACCCTTCCCTTCACACGCAACCCTGATAGACTTTCAAAATAAGACTCCGGGGACCCTTCAAAATAAAAGCTCCTACATTAAACTCATATTTTTTCCCAGCATATGGCTCAACATTATGACCCAAGCTCAACCACTTTTTTTAAAAATGAGACTCTAGGGGGTTTTCAAAACACACCCCACAGAAATTTTCAAAATAAAAGCCTCCCATTGCCACTTTATCTACTGCCCTAATAACAAGGGAAAAGAGTGATTTAACGATTGGAAAGTCATCAAGTATCACTGCAGGGTCTGACCCTTTCCTCAACACACAACCCTGCTAGACTTTCAAAATAAGACTCCAGTGACCTTACAAAATAAAAGCCTCTATATTATACTCGTGTATTAATTGATGCAAATGGCTCAGCATTATGACCCAAACTCTACCAGCTTGTTTCTATTAGACTCTAGGGACCTTTTCAAAACATACCCCAGAGCGAATTTCACAATAAAACTCTCACATTTACGCTCTAATACAGCATCTATTCAACCAATACCATGGAAAAACAGTGATTTTATATTTAGAAATTGGTTCTATATCACTGCTGGGCATGACCCTCCCCTTGACACACATCCCTGATAGACTTCCGAAATAAGATTGAAGAGACTCTTCAAAATAAAAGCCTCTTCCTTACACACACTCATTCACTGTGCCGTATGGCTGGTAGCCATCACCCAAACTCAACAAATTTCTTCAAATTACACTACCAAGGCCTGTTGACCACACACCAGTGCATATTTCTTAATCAGGTTCTAAGATTTACACTGTAATAAAGCATCTGCTAACCTCGTAACATGCAGCCTAAGCCTGCCAACGGTGCTTTCATCACCACAGCGGCTCGTAACATGCAGGTTAGTTTTTTTGATAAATTCAGCTCCTTCAGTGGTATTAGCTCTCTTTCTATAAGCTTCTCTCTCTGTCCTTCCTCTGCTTCTCATGGTCAGTCTTGCACATAGGTTTGTAGATTTTCAATCCTCTAAGGATGAAACTGTTTTCTTTATGCTAGTCAACCGACACATTTTAAATAATTTCAAATAGTTTTGCCAAGTCTTGACATTTCCACATATGATTTCAAAATTTTGATACTTATCCAATACCATCTTCCTCAACATTTTACTTCCCATCCTTAAGCTACTCATTTTTTCTTCAACCAGATAAGTTTCCAGTTTTTCTTTGTATTTAATTTTCTGATTCAGCTAATTTAATACTTTTCAGCCTATGCTGTGAACTTTGGCTTCATTCTGCTCTCTTTCTGGACAGGAATTAAGCTTTTCTGTTTGCTGCTAATTCATAACACGCCTGACATGTTTCTGGGCAGTAGGTGGCCCCCCTTCAAAATTTCTTTAGAACTTTTTCTAGAAACTTGGGAGAAATTATATTAAGACCCTTCTAGCGCCCACATTCAAGACATTTTTTGATATCATGTATGGTTTGGCTGTGCAGCTTTTAAGATGAGTTTGTTTCTGACATTTTACTGCCAAATGATTCTACCCTACAAAATATTCAGATGATTCAACTGTTTTCTGCAGTTTAAAGTTTCTGATGACTTCCTATCACATTTTCATATGTTCTTCAGGTAATTTCAGCTTTTTTCATTCAGCAAAAGCATTCCCACTTGCTGTTTCTCCGAAACAGCTTTTTCTAGTTATTAAATATTAATACAATTTCAGACCTCTCCTTGATTTCTAAGTGGAGGAAACCTGCTAAATAGCAGGGTTTTCAAATACTTATTTTCCTTACTGTATAATAACCCAAGTGTAATTAATCAGTAGGTCTTATATTTTAATGATTTCCAGAAATGTATATTTTGATAACTTATTGAGATGTGCCCAAGATAGTGGTAGGATACTCACATCTTTGCTAATACATATCCAACTATTTTGCCATTTTCATCCTCTGCGATGTATGAAAGCTGAATAAAAAACGGAAAGACACAGAGTGTGAAACATGTAAACTCTGCCGACATAGAGGGCGAAAAGAGAGTGAAAAGGGAGAGAAGCAGCACCTGAGGCCACGACAATCCATGATAGAAGTAATATTTCATCTGGTAGTTTTCGGGGAGACACAGCAGGTTGCAGTGCTGCATGTTCATTAGGTCCTCCGGCTGGAACAGATAAAACAGGTTAACCGCAAAGGCACGTTATACAGAGGAAAATCGGTTAACCTCTTCAATTTGCAGCAGGAGTTAAGATTAGCTTAGCATTAGCTGGTGGTTAAACAGCGTGGTTGTAATTGGATTACAATGTGCTTACCCTGGCGTTTCGTATATTCATTTTGTTATTTGTGTTTTTAAAAGCTTCGGAAACAAGTTTTCGGTTTACAATAATTCAAACAAACTCGTTATTATTAACTGCACAACAGAATTTAAAGGTTCTACTTCGCTTGCTAACTGCCTGAGTGAGCTAGCATGGAAGGAAGGAGGAAATAGTCTGGTGGGAAATACTTCCGGTAAAGAAGTTCCAACACTTCACAATAAAAGCATGCAGATTTGGACGTATGTATGATGGTGGGATTGTATCGATTTCAGTGATTAATTCGCTCCTTTATTCAAAAAGCAAAAGCAAGAAAAAAAAAAATATTAATGAAGCCATTAAAACAATGGCCTTACATATAGAACTGCAAACAAAGAAAAAAATTACACACGTTTAAAAGTAGCCTAGAGTAGGCTACATCGCTTTGGTGAAGTCTCCTGACTTGAATAAAGGCGCCATAAGTACATGCCATTTACCATTTAAATGATTGTATATTGTAAAACAATACAGCATTATCTATTTAAATTTCGTTTTTTGTGTTTTTTTTTCATCCCAATTGTTATATTTTATTAAAACAGACACAGCCGCATAAATTGAGCTTTTTCTTTTACACTTCTCTTTAAATGCACCCAAACTCATAACTTCCTCTATTTGTTGTTTTTAACACACATCAATCAGCAGTGTTTCCATAACTATTTTTAATTTAGCAAAAAAGCAACTGAAATATGCTAGGGACAAGTCCTTTAATATAAAAATGGGGAATAACTTTTGATTTCCTCATTATTTGTCAAGACAATTGTAGGACTGTGGAAGGCAATTTTATATTGGTCATTAGTTTTTTTTTAGCTTTTTAGCTTTTTTAAGTAGTGCAATCAGTCTGGACTCTCCTTACCCTTTTCTCAAACCAAGATACTTAAACAGTTCAAGTATTGGAAACAGGAGATAGCTTATGACAGACCTTAGCTCGCTTTAAAATTAAATTATTCAATAAATATAGTATTCTCATTGAGATGGGTCATTTTAGTTGCCTCAATACATTTTATCGTATGCCTCTCAAAATAATAAAGAATGAGACAAAGTCAACTTACTTTCTGTAACCTATTTAGATTGTTCATAACCTTATTTACATTAAATTTCATTAAAGTAGTTACAAAATGCAAGTAATACATCCTTAATAGCTTAAAAAAGAAAATGTTTTTAAACATATTGTATTATATTTAATAGAAGCTACCCCTTTACGATTAGATGCATCATATCAAGTGGAGATGCTGTTACAGAGCCCTGGAAAGAAGACTGTTGCAGCTTATTAGTTTCAAAGTATTTGAAAATTAGCCAATCTACTATGGAAATAAGTCTAAATAGTGGACTTAAAAAAGCAGCATATAAGTCTGAACCTTCTTGCTGCAAGGCAGCAGTGCTATCCACTGCACCACTGAGCAGCCCACTCTGAAACAGTTTATTAACGCCTAAATTAACTTAAAATGCCGAAATCTGCTGGCAAAACATGTTCACTTTTATTATCCTGGTGCCTGCAGTTTGGATTACGTACATGAAAAACACCTACCAAACCACAAAAAGGCAGCCGGGTCAGTGGCAGCTGTTGGGATGGGGAATCCTACTGACAGCACATCTTCGGTATGTGGGGGTCTGAGCGTCTCTGACAGCGAAAAAAACACTCTGACACTCTGCTGCACCTCTCTCAAATTGTAGGTGACCGCAGACACTACCGCAGTCAGGAGGCCCGGTTGTTTTTGTTTCTATGACCGAATTGCAGAAAACAACTCGTGAGGCTGGACCAGCTAGAAGAGCGAAATGGGCTAGAAAGCCGGTACCCTTTTTCCACTTTGATCCCCTCTATTTTTCGCCGTCATGTCCCTCTGTTGTTGGACAAACTCGCCCCCACTTCCTCACCGCCTCGGCTGTATCTAAGACCACTCTTCAATACTGGGCATAAATAAAAAATTTCTGCGTCAAGCTCACTGCGACACACTGCTGCAGGAGTATAACCAGCCCTTTAGAGGGAAAAAATGGCAAGGGTGGCTAATGGTAGGTCCCTGGTCCCCCATCTAGCTCCGCCCCTGTCCATATAAAGAGACACAGTCTCTCAGGTAAACTATCATCCAATCAGCTGCTTTATGCAAATTGCAGCTACAGGTGCCACAAGGGGAGGGACTAGAGATAAGGTCTACATAACACATCTTTAACGCTGGAGCGGCAGCGACTAAAATGTTACACGCTTAACGTGTAATCCAGAGGAAAATGATAATTATTCCAGCCCATATCTGTAACACCAGAGAGAGGAAAACCATCGGCTGGATTCCTGACTGACTGAATCCAGATTATTGTTTGTTTTCTGTTGTTTCCAAGCGATGTGAAAGTTATGGAGGTAAACTGCGGTCAAAGTGTTGTTTGGATCCATTTCGGGTGAATGAGAGCGCAGATGGAGAACGACCTGAGGCTGGAGTCAAGTTTATGGGTCGGGAATAAGAGATACGTGGCTGTCCTGACAGGCTGGCATCTCAAATGGACCGAGGCTGACAAGAAGAACCGCGATAAGAAAGCAGGTGAGGGATCCTGCAGCTCCTCTCCAGGCCACACTAACCTACACTCTACAGCCACTGTTAGAAATAGAATAACAGGACTATATGTGACATTTTAAAGGAACAATTTATAAAAAATTATACTTAATCACTAGTCGTGCAAAACTACTTAAGGTTTCATGACGGAATGAATAACAAAAGCAGTTTTAAGCGTGCAGACAGGGAGTGTTTTAATTAAGTCTTGCAGAACAGAAGAAGAACTAGTTAAACAGCACCAACATGTTATCAAACAAGTTTACTGCAAACAGGCTGGAAACACACACACACACCTCCTGACACATTACCTCAGCTTAATACAGGCTTTATTGCTACTCAGTATATCTATCCCTCATTAGTAGCAGATTTTGAACCCACTAATGAACATACAGTGCTTCTAAAAGTAATGCATTTCAATAGTTATTTGTGAAATAGTGATTTTAGTTACTAAAAGTAAAAATCTGTTTAAACCAACCTGGCCAAAAGAGTAGAAAAAGTTTTCTGTTTAAATCATGGAATAAATAGGATGAACCTATTTTTGGTTTCAAATTTCTCTTGTTTATTGAGGGACTGATCTCTGCGACCTGCAGACTCTATAATCTGCTGAAACAGAACCTGCATGACAATATCAGAGATAGCAAAAAAAAAAAAAAATGCACATCAACACATCATGCCCCCATCTGAAAAGATTACTGACACCATTGTACTGCAAACGGGTACAAAGCCATTTTTTAAAAGCTTCCAGAGTAGGTCAAAAACAGTTTTCCACATTTAGTGAAAATGTGGCACATGTCTTCATTGTTTTAAAATCATATTGCTTGGCCTGTATGCTTAAAAACCACTTAAATAAAATCTGTTTAAGGACATGAAGATCTAAAACAGCAAAATATAGCTTTCTACCCCAAGGATGTTCAGGAAAAAGTTATATGACAGTTTAGATCTATCAACATGGAAAGGGATTTACAAAAATACTTTTGAAGCTTTAGGACTTCAGATAATCCTAACATTTTTTCCATTTGTTCTAATTGATGGGAAAACAACAACAGCATTGGAACTTCTATAGAACTGCAGACCCCAGGGCTTCAGCTAAGGTCAGTTTTTATATTTTATCAAAAGGAGAGAGAATGGGCAAAAATCATTTCCATGAAAGAGATAGGTTTTTTGCATTTAAGCCAAGATCTGTTGCAAAACCTGTTTTATGATCTTGAAAATTCTCAAATGTCAGGAGACTCTTCTTTAGACCAAAGAGGTCAGTGTCCTGCTACATCCACTTTAAAATCAAACACATTTCAAAAGCAGAACATCATTCCTGCAGTCCTATAAGATGGGTAATATGATGGTTTGCAGATACTTTGCCTCTTACTTGTGCTTGAGACGCTGTGACTTGATCTTTAACGCTTTTGTGGTCAAAATCCTTCCCATTTGGCTGAATTACAGCAACTCCATAAAGAAGATTGTGACAAAATCCCTTCAGAGCATGTAGGGAGCTCTTTAAAAGTTTGCCCAACGATTTTAAATAGCTGTCGTTAAGTTTAGGGGTAATTGTTTTATCCTTTTGATACATTAGATAATATTTGGAAAACATATTTCTTTTATTATAATCTCAGTTTATGTATGATTTTACAATTATTGAGATGACAGACTGTCAGAATAATTTAAAGTGATCTAAACATGGATGCAAATGTTTCCAGTAGAAGTGGCTTCTGAGGTAAAAGAAGGATAAATTATCAAAATAAAATGTCACCTCAACAAGCAGTAGTATATTTCATGTGTCGAAATCAATGGCCTGTTGATTTATCATTAACAGCTAGATTGAATTACACTGACATCACCTGTTTTATTTATTTATTTTTGTAGGTGTATTGGTCTGACGACACACACTGCAGGCCTTTTAAACAAACAAAGGCTCAATTCTAATCATGTTTATCTAGCATATACCAGGAAGCCAGCAAGGCCAGTAGAAGTTCTATGAAAATGAGGTGGCTCAACAGAATCGGCTTTCATTTCAATCACACTGTGTTTTTTTGTTTTTTTTTTTGTTTGTAACAATATAGTCAAATCAGGTAAATGTCATTGCCATGGGCTTATATAATTAAATGGAAAACATACATGTTGCTCTACACTGCAAAAACAATCCAGAAATAAGTAAAATGTTTTTAGATTAAGTGTATTTAGCCTTAATTTGAGCAGGCAAATAAGATTATTTGCCAATGGAATTAGTTGTTTTACTCTTAAAATATGATCATTAGATAATATGCACTTGAAATAAGACAATGCAGTTGTTTTTTTCTTATTTTAAATCTAGTCTTGTTCCATCGGCAAAGTGTCTCACTAACCTTCTAAATAAAAAAAAAAATGCACTTATTTTAAGAAAAAATTACTTATTTAGATTTCAATGTTTTACACTGTACATTTTACCTGTGCTTTAACTTTTAAAAAGCAAAAAAATGACTCCGTTAGTTTTGATAAAGGTTTAGATTTTTGATTGCACCCATGTTAAAGTTTCAGTTCCTGTGGCCGAGGTGGTGGGAGTGGAGGAGGGCCGGGTGGAGATCCTGCCTCACAAGTCTGTGGAAGATACAGACAGAGACTTCAC